TGGTAAGCCCTGGGAGAGGTGTCTGACCCAAGGTGTCAGTAGTTTTCTTTAGAACTATGAGGTACTTAATGCCTCTTTGACCTCAGCTCAGCCAGAGACCATGGTTACCATTTCTAGGACAACCGGAAAAGTCCAACATAATATTATCTGTAATGTTAATATAATATAATATCTCTCATAATAATAGAGATATAATATAATATCTCTATTATGAACAGAATGGTGTGTAGAGCACACTGTGTGATCCAACCCATGTAGGATCTGTTGTATACCATGACTGGAACATTAGACTTCTGTTCCTGCAACTGTATTGCATTAGCCCCATGTTGGGGCCCTGATCTAAAAGAAGCACCTAAATGCATAGAGCAGACTTCCCAGCTGAGTTAAGGGGTCTCTATCATGTTTGAATATATCTAATGAAGTGATGAGGTAGATGGCCTGCAAGTGGCTACCTGGTTTGGTGACTGGCACAGAGCACACAGGTGAGGGTTCTACTGGGAAGAGGGTTCTACTGGGAAGGATCTGGAATGGAGAGAATAGCATGGTGCCCTCCCAACCTTACCCACCATAACTGGCATCTGAGGCGGAAGGAAAGGGAGCTGTCTCCATGAGGAATGCTGGGAGTCATAGGACCATAGAACCCAAGCATCACTGCTGAGGCACACAGGTGGCTGAGTGTGACCCTGAGGTGGCAAGGCAATGAATTCTTCCTATTTATATAAGGGCCATGGAGATTCTCTGGCTATCCTGCTGAAGGTAGCTCTGGGGACGCGAGTGTCCCCCTTGATGGGGGGATGCCAGAGCACTGACAGTGACAATCAGTATACATTCATGTTGGGTGAACAATAGAAAGCCCCCGACTGTCTAGCGATAGAGCTCTGTTAAACATGGTTAATAATATTGTGTTGAACAAATGATGCCAGAGAGGAAAGAGGACAGTGTCTGTGATTCCATTTATATGAAGTTACATGAAGTCAGAGTGGCCTTGCCTCTAGGTGCAGTCGAGGACATCTTTGGGAGTGGCATGGATATTCCTTATCATCTTGGAGGAGTGATGTTTACATGGGCATATTCATATCAAAACTCACCGACTATGTAACCAAGATCAGTACACTCTGCTGCATGTAAGTTAGACCTCAATAAAAGTAACAATTAATGAATATACTTAAAAAGAAGTTTTTACCAGCATGGGGAAATGTCTATACTATAATCTTTAGCAAAAAAAAAACAAAACAAAACAAAACAGGAGCCACGTTCATAATGGTGTACAAGTGTGAACAATTAATCAAAAAGCATAGATAGGAAAGGTTGGGGCCGAGACAGATCATGTGTTAAAAGAAATTGTTTTGAGGTTGTGAGACTATATCTAACTTTTTCCTACTTGATATTTTTCTGTTTTTCCCAATTTCCTAAAACAAGTTTGTGTTGGTTTTATATGTAGATATAAGTTTTTAAAAATAAAAGCTTCATTTGCTATTTTTATAGACGACCTCTCTGTTGACCGATACTGACAGAGAGTCAACATGAGTCCCAGGCATTTCTGTATGGTGGTGTGTACACTCACTGCCCTCGTGTCCTTGGCCCTTTCAACCCAAAGGAGAGAATCAACATTCTCCCCATCCTATTGATAATACTTTGAATATAGTGTCCAGAGATGGCATGCTCAGGGGAGCAAAGCAACCCTTGGAATATGAGGACAGTGACTAGATGTGGAGCAGATGTTTAAAGACTGGCCAGCACCCCCAAAAGGAGGGTAGACCCGAGAAGCCCTCCACTATAGACATCAGTCCAGAGTGACTAACTGATCAAAAGATCCTTTCTCATGGAAGTCTGAATGTCATATTTAAGAGAATGAGAGCCGTGAGAACTGGGAGGGACAACACAGAAAGGGAAGCAGAGACCAAGAAACTAAGTCATAAAATGTTGCTATATCCAGGACGCTGTTTCATTAAGGTGCTAAAGAATTTTTCCTGAGTCCTCACTTCTTTGTGCATCCTTGGCATGAACCCCGACCCCAAGAGGTGATGGGAACACATCTCTGGACCAGAAACTCAAAAGGAGATAACACATCCTGTTAATCTGTGCTTCCTGATTTCAACCTGTGAATCCTCACCCTGATTCGCCTCCAATGTGTATTTTTCAAACCAACCTGGCCCTGGAGCCATGTATTAGTCGGGTCTCGCTGCTCGGGTCTAGCACATCACGTAACAGATGGGGAAATGGAAATTCAGAGAGAAGTATCTCAGCAACATCAGATAGTGAGTCAGAGGCAGATCCTATGTATGGCTGGGGAGCCTGCTTCACTACCCCACATTGCCCTCTGTGGGTGAGCATACCTGCTATCCTCAGCCACCCCACGGCTGACACAGAACACAGGGCAAAGCCCCAGCTCTGTGTGGTCAAAGTAAAAACCAATGATAGTCACTTGTTGCAAACAGAAATACAATGTTTGTGGCCAGTGCAGTGGCTCACTCCTTTAATCCTAGCACTCTGGAAGGCTGAGGCAGATGGATTGCCTAAGCTCAGGAGTTGGAGACCAATCCGAGCAACAGTAAGACCCTGCCTCTTCTAAAAATAGAGAAAAACTAGGTATCGTGGTAGGTGCTTGTAGTCCCAGCTGCTGGGGAAGCTGAGGCAAGAGGATCACTTGAGCCCAAGAGTTTGAGGTTGCTATGAGCTACAATGATGCCAGAGCACTCAACCCAGGTGGACAGAGTGAGACTATCTCAAACAAAAAGAAAAAGAACGACAAGAGTGAGACTATCTCAAACAAAAAGAAAAAGAACGACAACATTGGTTCAGCAGCACCCGAGAGTTTTGTACATGTTCATTACCAGTGACCACAAGGCTATCCTCCAAAGAAACAAAATTGTATTTATGTTACCTGTTTTCTGTAAAATAAAATGTTGTATTAATTTATTTGTTACCCAGTTTCTGAGCTCTTTCCAAAGCATTCTTTATGTTCTCTACTTAAATAATCCATTGGAGGCTGGTGCATAAAAGACTCTACACTTGTTATACCACATATCATTTAATCTTGACCACAGACTAGAGTGGGTTTGCATTTGGGGTTTTAAAAACTTCCATTTTACAGATAAGAAAACTAAGGTTTAGAGAGTGTCAATAACTTATTCAGAGTTAAGCAGTAAATAACGAAGCTGGGCTTAAACCCCGGGGCTACAGTTCATCATTGCCTTTTGAATTATACACACGGGAGGAATTTGAACGGGAGGAATTGAATGGGAGGAATTCAACGACTCACTGCATTTATTACGATTAGCAGTTACTGAGCTCTGTGTAATGCAGATATGTGCCCCACGTGGGGGATTCTTGATTATTGGGCTATTTCTGGGCTTTTTGGGCTTTTCCCAAACAGCCATTTCTTTCTGTTCCCCAGGCACCAGCAACTAGCTTCACCTCTTCAGCTTCCAGTTTGCTGGTACTAATCTGCTCTAGACAAGGAGCCCAGGGAACCTGTTTTGTTAGAAAGCTAGCATATAAACTCTGAGAAAAGAAGACTGAATAAGTAACTAAGAATTTTGAGCCGGGCGCAGTGGCTCACACCTGTAATCCTAGCACTCTGGGAAGCTAAGGCAGGTGAATTGCTTGAGCTCATGAGTTCGAAACCAGGCTGAGCAAAAGTGAGACCTGTTTTTACCAAAAACGGGAAAACGGAGGATTGCTTGACCCCAAGAGTTGGAGGTTGCTGTGAGCTATGATGCCACAACACTCTACCCAAGGCAACAGCTTGAGACCCTGTCTCAAAAAAAAAAAAAAAAAGAATTTGATGCTCCTTGAATATATAGTATGTGCTAACAGGGGGCTGTGGATGCCTGAAATAAACTCCCAACAAACCCAGGAGGGGCCTGCTGTTACTCAGCCCAGTGCAGAGATGAGGACACTGAGGGGAGAAGCAGAGACAGGCATCAAGCTTGCCAGCCTGAGTGCAGAGGCTGCTGGCTCACCCCTGTTTGGGCCACCCCCAAAGGTGGGGGACCATGTGATTTTGCTGTTTGGGGTCCCCTTTGCCTTCCTGTACATCCCAGGCAAAGCTTCCTCTTATATGGCTGAGGGAACGGAAGCCCAGGGGGCTCCTGTGGCCCATGAGCAGCTCTCTGCTGTGTCTCAGGTGTGGGGTCAGTCACTGATGTTTTTAGATAAGTCATCAACCACTTATATGGAGATGTCTACATATCATATTGTCATATAATCCTGAACTTGGATGTATACGTCTGGCAGTTGTTGCCTGTTTCATAAGGAAAATTTCTCATAGCTCCAGGTAGATTGTATCACCGGAGTAAAGAATCTTGCCACCTACGTATCCCAAAGAGTGTAAGTGCTCATAAATGCTGATGGTTTTCAGGGCCGCAACGTCATGAAAGAGTGAAAATCCATAATGATATGTCCCCTAGATACATAATCCAGAGAAAGATGGGACATCTGTTTAGATGGCCGGTGGATCTAGAGCTAAAACCCTTTAGACAACCAGTCATTTTAGCTTACAGAGAAAAATAATATTGGGTGGTGAGCATATGTGTGTGAGTTGTGATGGAACAGGGGATGGGAGGAAAGTGGGTAAAAGGGATGTGAGGGGTTATTGTGAAGTCTAGGACTTCCCTCTACATTTAAATTCGGTTTGAGTTTACTTTGGGGGCAATTCTTGAAAGAATCAGAATTTTATCACCCTTTTAACCTTCTCGTCGATAAGTTCTGTGATGAACAAATAAATCATTTGCCTCCCAGACAGTAATCTCTTTTATTAAAATGTGGGCTTCTGACTAGATAGGTGTAAATGTTCTGCTAGCTCCAATATCCTTTCATTTTTTTCAATTTTCTAACATCTATTCAGTTGAATGATCAGAGAACAAAAACAAAATAGTACAACGAGGAAAGCCAATGAACAAAATTTCAGACCACAGATCTATTCTCTATCCTGTCCGAAGCACGACTTAAAGGAAAAAAAGAACTGCTCTTGATTTTCTCCCCCGCAGTACACTTAATCACTAAACCCCGCCCTCCTTCAAAAAAAGAACTATGCGTTTCCTACTTTTGTACTTTCTGTATGTTTGATTTGCACAGCTCAGCTGGCCAGAGGAGCTGAGACATCTGTTCCCCTACAAGAAACTCTCCCCGGTAAGTCGTCTCTTAGCCACTTGGCTGATCGGTTAGCTCAGCTTCTGTGATGAGTAAAAGCCTTTACAGGAAACCCATAGAAGACATTTGGCACATAGCAGGTGCACAAAGAATTATCTTAAAATATAATCTCTAAGATAAGGAAAGGGTCAGGGTTTCGAATGAGTTTCAGACTATTGTTATAATAAAGATATAAAACCAACTGGGAGTGAAAGATTTAAAAGGAACAGTATTATTTAAAAAAAAAAAAAAAAACGAACAAGCTTCACCTCAGAAGAAAGATTTTCAGAGAGATGCGTCTTGGCTGAAATCTTAGCAGAGATTATCTCCCTCTAAGGATAACTAAAATCTCTCCACTGGGTTGCTTCTGAACATGTGCCTATGCCAAGTTGTGTCTATGTCCCCCCTACCCCGAAAAGTGGAAAGCCTAAAAATTGTCCAAATTAATAACAAATTATAAGTAGCAGTAAAATTTCACTCTAATGTATCAGTTCCACAGCACATTTAGTATATAATTCTTCATAGCTCAGAATTTAAAGGTGAGAATTTCTGGGTGTTTCTTCCAGCTGCTTAGTCTGAGATGCAGAGAGTTTGAGGCTCATAAAAGGATTAATTACAGAAAATTCTCAGCTAAACAGAGGAACTTAAGTAGATCAGGCAAACCAGATGGCGGTAGGGACTAAGTTATTCAGAATGCATGATATTTCCACAGTATCATGCTAATGAAACGTTTTTCACTGGGCCATTCATTTCTATGTTTGTATAAGAGCTCTTACTTGTGGCAACACAGGAACTATAAACCCAAACTTCAGAGAAAATGTGAGGATTTTACAACTGTCTGTTGACATCTATGACCTTTTGAGGGCACTTGGGCATCAGCCCGTTTCACTCTGACTACATCAAGGCTGATGGTCCTGCTGCTCTTTGGTTCTCTTACCAGGGAGAGAGAGACAGGGTAGCATGGGTGTTAAGGAAGCAGGCTGCCTGTGTTCAAAACCAGTCGCTTCCTAGCTGTGTGCTTTGGACAAGGTATTGGCCCTCTCTGTGCTTCCAGGCCCTTAGAGGCAAGATGTGAACTATATTACCTGTCTCATAAGATTGCTTGAGGATTAAATGAGTGAATGGATATGAAGCTTAGGGCAGTGGTTATTACACAGTATGTGCCTCTGTTAATTATTACTGGCTTGCTTGTGGTACATGCTGTTTGTGGTCTAATTCCAGGGAACAGCAGCTTCACTATAACTATGACTATGCCGTGCCTAACTCAGTTTCTTAAAGTTGTTACTAAAGCTTCATTCATTCCACATTGCTACAGAAACAAAATTTTATTTGATGACAGGGTGTTTTCCTGATTTTTCCAACAAAGTCAACCTCTCCAGCTAGTGAGCAGAGGAACCAGTGGCAAACCTTCTCTTGGCTACACAAGTTCATTGCTCAGGCCCCAAAAGGGCTCAGGTGAATCATCGTGGCCATCTATGTATCAAATCAAAAACCCACTAATGTATAAGACTGTTTGCATTCAGGGTGGACTGCTAAATATACTCTAGCACTTTATAAAAGATCACTTTTTCTTTATTCCCAGGGTTGAGCAAGATGGAATATCAAGTGTCAAGTCCACTCTATGACGTTGATTATGGAATGGCAGAGCCCTGCCAGAAAAGCAACGTGAAGCAAATCGCAGCCCAGCTCCTGCCTCCGCTCTACTCACTGGTGTTCATCTTCGGTCTTGTGGGCAACATGCTGGTCGTCCTCGTCCTGATATACTGCAAAAAGCTCAGGAGCCTGACTGACATCTACCTGCTCAACCTGGCCATCTCTGACCTGCTTTTCCTTCTCACCGTCCCTTTCTGGGCTCACTACGCTGCATCCCAGTGGGACTTTGGAAATACAATGTGCCAACTTCTGACAGGGTTCTATTTTATAGGCTTCTTCTCGGGAGTTTTCTTCATCATCCTCCTGACAATTGATAGGTACCTGGCTATCGTCCATGCTGTGTTTGCTTTGAAAGCCAGGACGGTCACCTTTGGGGTGGTGACAAGTGGGGTCACCTGGATGGTGGCCGTGTTAGCCTCCCTCCCAGGAATCATCTTCACCAGATCTCAAAAAGAAGGTCTTCGTTACACATGCAGCCTGCATTTTCCACACGATCAGTTTCAGTTCTGGAAGAACTTCCAGACGTTAAAGATGATAATCTTGGGGCTGGTCCTGCCCCTGCTCGTCATGGTCATCTGCTACTCGGGAATCCTGAAAACCCTGCTTCGGTGTCGAAATGAGAAGAAGAGGCACAAGGCCGTGAGGCTCATCTTCGCCATCATGCTCGTCTACTTCCTCTTCTGGGCCCCCTACAACATCGTCCTTTTCCTGAGCACCTTCCAGGCGTCCCTTGGCCTGGACAAGTGCAGTATCTCTAATAGGCTGGACCAAGCCATGCAAGTGACAGAGACGCTTGGGATGACACACTGCTGCATCAACCCTGTCATCTACGCCTTCGTTGGGGAGAAGTTCAGAAATTACCTCTTAGTCTTCTTCCAAAAGCATGTTGCCAAACCCTTCTGCAAGTGCTGCCCAGCCTTCCAGCGAGAGGCTCCTGAGCGAGTAAGCTCAGTTTATACCCGATCCACTGGGGAGCAGGAAATATCTGTTGGTTTGTGACCTGGACTCAAGTTGGCTTATGGCCTGTACTGAGTTGTGCACAGGACTCAGTTTTTATACACATCCTAGGTCGGGAGAGTTTCTTTTAAAAAGGAAGTTACTGTCCTACAGGTTCTAAGATCCATCCGTCTATCTGGCATCTGTGTTAAGTAGATCTTTTAAGCCCATCAGTTCTAGAAAGCCAAATCAGAATATGTTGGAGAGATAGTAACCTTTTCATCTCCCCTTCACATACCTCAAGTTAGTGGCAAACTCTCCCTTCACTGCAAAATTTCACTATTAAAAAAAAAAAAAAGTCTTTAGAGAATTGCTGACTTTCAAGTCTGGTTATCTGGACAGAAAAAAACAAAATTAAATGAGAAATGTACAGCAAGGCAACAAACAAGTTGTAAATGTGCTTAAAACAGGTCTTTTGTCTTCTCCCTGTGGGAGAAAAGACATGAATGTGATTGGCTAAGAAATGGCAGCTTTCCCTTGTAATTCCCCCTCCAAGTTATGTCGAATGAGTTCCACAGACTTTCCAGACCATGGCCTGGGAGAGCTGGGGAAGCTCCTTAAATGAGAAGGGATTTGAGTTGAGTCACGTGCTGGTGAAGGAGAACGAAGTGTGCTCGGGCTTCAGGCACCAAATGGGCCAAGCATGGCTGTGGGAAGACACGGGCTGTTGTGGGAGACCCTGGGGTGGGGGGAGGACGTGGCTAGATCATGAGGAGACTTGACCAGCAACAACCCTCAGGCGAGGGTGAGGATGGCCCTCACTGAGCTCAGGGACCGAGGATGGGAAGGAGGGAGGTATTCATGCAGCACATTTAGGACACAGAGTCAGCAGAACCTGGGGATCAGGGGCATGAGGGTTGAAGGTGAGGGGCAGAGAGGCGGCAGAGAGAACTCCTAGGCTTCCAGCAGGTTGTGGAATCCCTTAAAGAGACATGAAGCACTAGAGGAGAGGGAGAGCTTTAGGGGAAGAAGAGGTGTTGACATAAGAGGATGAGCTGCTTTTCCGAGCTTGACAGCCTTACACAGAGAGACTTCTGCTGTCTTTCTCTGAATGGTTCTGTCTTCATGGTAGTTCTTTTCATCCCAGCTTGAGTAACAAGGGATCACCAGGAAACTTCAAAATGCTAGATTTATGAATACATGAGTTGGAGGTAAAGGAGCATATTTCAGATCACACAAGAGATCTAAGTGAGGACTGATTACACAGTCAGTTAAAATCCAGAGTTTCAATAAGCATTGAGCAAAGAGGCCCCAAGCAGGCAAGGGAAACCAGAAAGACTAACCTTCCACCTGCCCAGGGCACGTCACTGTGGGTTTTCTGTATTCAACTAATCAATAGGCAAAGGGGAGAGGGAACACAGTCATTTGGAAACAAGCTGCCTTGAGCTTTAAAACCCAGAAAAAGTACAATTTACCAACCTCCACATTTCAGGTCGAGTGTGGGGGCTTTAGCCACTCTTTCTAGATGTCTTCTCTAGACACACCATACCTCCTAAACACTAAGGGATTTATTCATTTAAAAGAGAGAGTTAGGATTTTTTTACTTTTCTTTTTTTTTTTTTTTTGCATTGCATCTTAGGTGATTGTATACCTACTTGAGATTGTTTTGAATTTTGGGGTAGCTAAAACCAGATTAGGTGAGAAAACAAAGTGGTGATCATCACTCAGGCAGCTCAGGTGTCAGAATAATAAGAGGTGTTACTGACTTTTTGCAAGCTGTGAACATGAAAGGTGAACATTGTGGCTGTGGTGTCAAGGCTGTTGAGAGCCAGGGAGTAGCGTGGGTCCTCACCTCTTGATCTAGCCACAGACGCGCTGACATCTCGGTTTGTGTTCATGTATTCTTACATATCTAGAAAGTTACAAATCACTTGGAAGAGAATATGCCTTTAATCGAAATCATCTTCTAAATTGGTTGTATTCTTGTTCTTCCCCTCAAATGTTTATTTAGTGAATAAAACAGTCAAAGCGTTTCTTAAGTGGCTATTTTGGAAAACTTCCTGTGTGTTCGTGTGTGTGTGTGTGTGTGTGTGTGTGTGTACATATAGGGAGAGAATTGTGTTTTTGCATTTCCTTTTAAATAATTTTAAAAGTTACCACAAAACTCTGTATTTAAAGATGTTACCTCTTAGAGTGGGGTTTCTCAGCCATGGATCTCAAAACTTTTAAATTTCAAATTTTAACTTTACTATTAAAACCAAGTAATTGACATGTCTTAAAAGAGAGAAGTGATGTCGTAAGTTTGTTGTCCATGTTGGAAAATAAAGAAGACGAGCAAAGTCATGGCCGGGTCATTTAGTCATAGCCCTGAGTTATAGGCACATGATACATGAGAATGGAGTTGCTTTTCTTTCATTTAAAATCTCTTCCCCAAATCGACCTTTAATTGCAGTGATGACAATTGTGTCCATTTGGATTTCTTGTCCATTTCTAATTGAGAGGACAGGTCCTCCAGGTCCTCACACTCACAGTGTGGAACATGCTGTACACTCAGCCTCCCAGAGCAGATCGTGGGCAGCAGGTGGGAGCGCCTATGAGAGATCCATCCTATAGGAAGGTGGTACCACAGGGAGGTGGGACAGTGTAGGTTTTTATGGCTGATACACACACATGCTCTCCTGATCCCCTTGCCATCTTACTAAATGCACCCAATGTTAGCATGCAGAAAAGCTATCGGGAATGTTGGCAGCTTTCCAAAGCCCATCCCTATCTCTCCTGTTCCTTTACTTCTTAGAGTATGATCCCATTATGATCTTCAGGATCTGATTCCATTCACCATCCCCAGGGTGAAGGTGCCCTACTGTCTCAACTCAAAGGCCCCTATCAAACAGGGGTTTACATGCATGCCAAGGAGAAATAATGCGTGAATTCATACATTGGGGTGCTATTCACATTTGTATTCCAGGAGTCCTTACTCTAAGCAGTTCTGTCTAAATTAAAATGCATTAGTGTTTCCATGGTGACGGTTAAATTTACAAGGCATTTATCTTCTATCAAAGGAGACACAGTCTCCCAACATGAACATAACTTTCAAGTGTTAAGTCTTCTAATGAAAGTATAGACCTTACTACCAACTACACTGGAGACTAGGAGTCGGAAATGTGAACTAGTCGCAAACTTTCTAACTGCTCTTCCTCTTTGTTTGCTAGCATGTCCATTTCTACCGCTCTCAGGTATTAGGGTAAACAGAAGAGGCAAAAACACGGAGCACAACCATAGCTCCTTTGCTTTGGAATGAGTCGCTAAAAAAGTCCTGCTTGTATTTTTCCAAAATGCAGTCAAATTTTAATATGTCACATTATATATAAATATACACAAAACATGTCATGTGACATCATTATGTATATAGGTATGGTATATACATAGAGTTCTCCATTATTTTCTACTGATATGTGGCTCCATGCAGTTACTATTTATTTGATCACAAGTTCTGTATCACTGTGATTCTGCCATGGGTCAGGGACACTTCAAGACATTTATGTTGGGGTCTTGTAGGGGTCACTAGTTCTTTAAAGCATACATGGAAAGGGTATTCAGTCTTTCCTTCCTTCCTTTCTTTCTTTCTTTCTTTCTTTCTTTCTTTCTTTCTTTCTTTCTTTTGACAGAGTCTCACTATGTTGCCCTTGGTTAAGTGCTGTCATGTCACAGCTCACAGCAACCTCAAACTCTTGGGCTTAAAGGATTCTCTTGCTTCAGCCTCCCAAGTAACTGGGACTACAGGTGCCGGCTGCAACACCTGGCTATTTTTTGTTGTAGTTGTCATTGTTATTTTAGCTGGCCCCAGCCAGGTTTGAACCTGCCAGCCTCCATGTGTGGCTGGAGCCATGAACACTGTGCTACAGGCAAAGTTGTATTGAGTCTTTTTCAAAGTAGATTCAGGAACAAAGACTTCAAAGCCATGAAGTGCCTTGGGCTATGCTGCCCCCCTAAGGCTACATTAGCAAAGTGTTAATCAACAAGGGTGTCCATCCTCCAGCCTTGGCCACAGAAAATACTCAGCTGCCAATACCATCCTGATTGTGGATAAGAGGTATTTCCACAGAAGCTCAGGGTAGACGCTCGCTCTTTTGTTCTCAAAGGCCAAGAGGAACATTAATGAGGATATAGCTTGATGCCTGTAGTAAAATGAATCTTCCAGCTGCCCCCATCCATCTCTGCAGTGTGCTGAACTCATAACCTTGCAGCAAGGCCTAAACATCTCCTGTGACTAAGCATTGTTCATAGTCCACAAGATGCCCCCAACTCCTCCCACGGTTCTTCTATAATCCTGATATCCAATAGTTACAGTTACCCAGTGTTTAAAATAATCAGATATGATTGGATGTAGGTGGATTTCTTTATCATTCACTCTCCCCTTTCTCCATTACTATTGTCACCTACCTCATTTTGATCAAACCCTTGTATAGAATCACATAATTTGAAAATGGAAAGGTTGTTGAAGACCAGTCATACCAACCCCCTGGTCCTGTAGATGAAGAGCAGAGCCCACCCGAACCCCAGAGATTCTTATGCAGCAGGTCTGGAGTGGGCCCAAGCCTTCGGATGGTGTTGCCCAGCCATACATGGGCCGCCAGCAGTGAGCCACTGAGTAGGGAGGAGGACACAGTTCTGACTCCCCTCATAGCTGGTATCCATGTGAATTCAGAGCAGCTGGGCCTGGAACTCACAAAGGTCACACTCTGGCCCTGGCTTAATCTAAGCTGCACAATGGAGTCAATTGGGGATTTTTACAAAGAGTGACACAACATCCCACCCCAGCAGTTCTGATTTCATTAGTCTGCAACGTCACCTGTGGGTCTCCCTTTTAGAAGCTCTCCAGATGATTCTAAGTTTGAGAACCACTGTGTAAAGCCTGAGAGCCAGGTCTATTATTTGAGCAAGATCTTGCCTAGCTGAGAGTGTCATGTGGGCAAGGGAGAGTCCCAATTTTCATCACAGAACATTAACTCCGGCTTCCCTCAAACTGGTTTTTAAAACGTATGAATCTAGACCTCTTTAGCATTATGAAATAGCTGCATTTGAGGCTCCAACTATTTAGTTTTCCTTTCTGGTTTGGGTTATGTCTTCACCTTTCCTTTCTAAGTAAAAAGTAAATAAAAGTGAGACGTCACAAGCTGAACTTTAGCAACTTCAAATTCAAGAGAGAACAAGTCTCGTGTGTAGGAGAGGGTCTGTCTGTTTTAAAAATTAATACGTATTTTGCTCATGTTAACAAAAGAGTTCTCTTCCCACTCATTTCTCCATCCCTCCAGCAAGCCATCCTCTTTAACTCTTTCCACTGAAGCATTATCCCTGAAAAAGTAGGAGTTAATGCCAATTTGTGCCAGCTCTGGTCAAGGCAATAATTTTGCAGAGAATTTGAAGTTAGCGTTAAAACAGCAACTCTCATGGGGACTGAAATATGCTTTAAATACATGTACACATACAAAACAAACAAATAAACAAAGAGCTCCTACTCTTTACCAAAGAGTAGATATCCCCGGTAACTTAATTATTTTGGTTTGGAGTCAAGACAATCCCATTTTTTGTTTTGTTTGTTTGTTTTGAGCTTTCTTTTTTTTTGTATTAAATGATAGCTGTGTACATTAATGTAATCATGGGGTACAGTGTGGTATTTTCTTTTTTATATATTAAATCATAGTTGTGTACATTACTACTATAATGGGTACAGTGTGTTGTTTCCATATACAATTTGAAACACTTTCATCCAATCGGCCAACATAGCCTTCATGTCATTCTCATAGTTGTTGTGTTAAGACATTTATATTCCACATTTAGAAAGATTCACACGTACCCTTATAGGATAAATCATAGGCGTGATCCCAGCAATCACCCTCCCTCCACCCATCCTCCCCTCTCTACTCCCCTCCCTCTCCCCTTTCCCCGGATTCTTAGGCTAAAATTGGGTTATAGCTTTCCTATGATAGCTAAAAATTAGTTTCATAATAGGGTTGAGTACATTGGATACTTTTTCTTCCATTCTTGAGATACTTTGCTAAGAAGAATATTTTCCAGCTTCACGTAAACATGAAGGCGGTAAAGTCTCCATCTTTCTTTAGGGCTGCATAGTAGTCCATGGTGTACATACACCACAATTTATTGATCCATTCATGGGTTGATGGGTACTTGGGCTTCTTCCATGACCTAGAAATTATGAATTGGGCTGCAATGAACATTCCGGTACAAATATCTGTATTGTACTGTGATTTTTGGTCTTCTTGATATATACCTAGCAGAGGAATTATAGGATCAAATGGTAGATCTATTTTGCAATTGAAGCAACATCAAAAATATACTACTGGGACCTCCTCAAATTAAAAAGTTTCTGCACAGCCAAGGACACAGTAAGAAAAGCGAGTAGACACCGCTCAGAATGGGAAAAGACATTTGCTGGTTATGTATCCAACAAAGGCTTAATAACCAGAATCCAGACAACTCAAACATATTATCAAGAAGAGAACAAGTGATTCCATCTCAGGGTGGGGAAGGGACTTAAAGAGAAATTTCTCTGAAGAAGACAGATGCATGGCCTACAGTGTTGCCATAAGGGTCTCACGGAAAAGCAATGTCACGAAGAATAAGCACGCTTATTGAAATTGTGTTTTAAATAAAGGTGATCATCTGCTCACTCAGGCAAAATGGCGAGCTTCTTTATTTGCAGTTGGCTTATATAGGGAATTTTGTACATGAGCACAATGTAGCAATGACCTCATTGAACCATTTAAACAGCTTATGACCACCCATCCTGTAAGTAGCTCCTCCCTAATAATCTGATAATCCACCCAACATACACCTTTAAGCATAATCCTTTCAATATAACCCAGTTTAACATAACTTAATGAAGAACATGTTGTCAGTTATTACTTTCTTTGATCTTATCTGATGAAGCTGAGGCTATGGGGGGAGGAGGGACGATTTGAAGGTCTGTTCTACTGACCATGCCATTTGGAGGCAGTTACTTCAAATCTGTAAGCAAAGCATAGAGAAGCTTCTTGGGCATACAGCAAACCTCTGCTCCCATGTAGGCCTTAAGTCAGGGGGGGTGGGGGTTCTGCTGGAGTCTTTTATAGGGAATTCTCAGGCTGGACTTCTCAAAAGCCTTTCGTGAGCCCAAGTTTCATCTGTGCCATTACATACCTGTACGACATTACCATTCCCAGACCTGTCAGCAAGCAACCTTCGTCACTTACCACAGATCAGGAAAGGTTACTGATGGGTATCTGGCCAGTTTTCCAAAGGGCTTTCTCATAGGCCTTATAAAGTCAACCTTAATTCCTTAACGCAGTCTGGAAATGCTATTCCAGCCAAAGCCTTGGTCATGTTAGGCCCACAACTAACCTGGCCACATAGGATTCTGCCTCAGTTTCTTAAGTATGCCTACACAAAGTCTTTTGACTGCTCTCTCTCAAGCAGCTTTTTTGGCCAGAGGCATATAGGTGTTTCGCCTATACTACAGATATACGAATAAATGCTCATCATCCTTAATCATCAGAGAAATGCAAATCAAAACTACTTTGAGATATCATCTAACATCAATAAGATCAGCCCATATCACAAAATCACAGATGCTGGCATGGTTGTGGAGAAAAGGGAACACTTCTACACTGCTGGTGGGATTGCAAACTGATACGTCCCTTTTGGAAACAATCTCATTTTTTGAAACTATATACTATAGAATATAATTAAGATTGAAAATAAAAATCTAATGGGAGCATTACAGTATAGTCTATATTTACTCCAAAATTGCTTTACTGTGGTTTATAGCCATTAGCTAAGAGTATTCACAAATCCTTTTTAAGACAATTATGCTATTTTCCTGATGTATAATCAAATCAGACTCTGTTGATTGGCTAACTCAATCTTCCTGGATAAAAAGCAGAGCCTGGCAGAGGAGAGGAGAGAGTATGGAATTAAAAGCCAGATTGACTTGTGTTCCAGCCATGATCTGTGGGAATGTGGACAAATGGCCTAGAGATTCCTGATATCAGGTTACAAAAGGAATTCTCAGCAGTAATTTAAGATACCACTAATATCCAACTGGCAGGGTTGTGTTAGGATAAGAATTGTCGGTGCTCTGCTTCTGGGGGCGTCTGTGATGCAGTGGCCGCAACCCCTTCCTCAGGCGGGCCTAGGACAACAGATCCTCGAAATTCTCTGATTTTTTGCCTCTGTCACAGTCTGGTTCCTTCCCTTCCCAGCCTTGGTTGTCGCCGCTGCCATGAACAAGAAGAAGAAGCCTTTCCTGGCCTGGGCATGCCCGCACCGCTCGGCTACGTGCCGGGGCTGGGCCAGGGTGCCACGGGCTTCACTACCTGATCAGACATTGGGCCAGCCCGGGATGCGAATGATCCTGTAGATGATCGCCATGCACCCAGCAAGAGAACCATCGGGGATCAGATGAAAACCAGGCTGCTGATGATGATGACGAGGATCTGAATGACACCAACTATGACGAGTTCAATGGCTACGCCAGAAGCCTCTTCTCAAGTGGGCCGTATGAGAAAGATGATGAGGAAGCAGATGCTAGTTATGCAGCTCTGGATAAAAGGATGGATGAAAGAAGAAAAGAAAGGAGGGAGCAAAGGGAGACAGAAGAAATTGAGAAATATCGTGTGGAATGCCCTAAAATCCAACAGCAGTTCTCAGATGGAAAAAGGAAGTTGGCAGAAGTCACAGAAGAAGAGTGGCTGAGCATCCCTGAGGTTGGCAATGCCAGAAACAAACGCCAGCGGAACCCACGCTATGAGAAGCTGACCCCCGTTCCTGACAGTTTCTTTGCCAAACACTTACAGACTGGAGAGAACCATACTTCAGTGGACCCCTGACAAACTCGATTTGGAGGTCTTAATACACCCTATCCAGGTGGACTGAACACCCCATATCCAGGGGGAATGACACCAGGATTGATGACACCTGGCACAGGTGAGCTGGACATGAGGAAGATCGGCCAGGTAAGGAATACCCTAATGGACATGAGGCTAAGCCAGGTGTCTGACTCAGTGAGTGGACAGACTGGAGTTGACCCCAAAGGCTATCTGACAGATTTAAATTCTATGATCCCGACCCACACAGAGGATATCAATGGTATCAAAAAGGCTAGACTGCTTCTCAAGTCTATCCGTGAGACAAACCTTCATCACCCACCAGTGTGGAATGCGTCAGCCCGCCTCGAAGAAGTCACTGGGAAGCTGCAAGTAGCTCGGAACCTTATCATGAAGGGGACAGAGATGTGCCCCAAGAGTGAAGACGTGTGGTTAGAAGCAGCCAGGTTGCAGCCTGGGGACACTGACAAGGCTGTGGTGGCCCAAGCTGTCCGGCATCTCCCACAGTCTGTTAGGATTTATATCAGAGCAGCAGAGCTGGAAACAGACATTCAAGCAAAGAAGCGGGTTCTTTGGAAAGCTTTTGAGCATGTCCCAAACTCGGTTCGCTTGTGGAAAGCAGCCATTGAACTGGAAGAGCCTGAAGATGCTAGATTCATGCTCAGCCGTGCTATGGAGTGCTGCCCCACCAGCGTGGAGCTCTGGCTTGCTCTGGCAAGGCTGGAGACCTATGAAAATGCCCAAAAGGTCTTGAACAAAGCAGATGAGAACATTCCTACTGACCGGCACATCTGGATCACTGCTGCCAAACTGGAGGAGGCCAGTGGGAACACACAGATGGTGGAGAAGATCATTGACAGGGCTATCACTTCTCTGCGGGCCAATGGTGTAGAGATCAACCATGAGCAGTGGATTCAGGATGCCGAGGAATGTGACAGGGCAGGGAGCGTGGCCACCTGCTAGGCAGTCATGCGCGCTGTGATTGGCATCGGGATTGAGGAGGAGGATCGGAAGCACACCTGGATGAAAGATGCAGATAGTTGCGTGGCCCACAGTGCCCTGGAGTGCGCATGCGCCCTCTATGCCTACGCCCTGCAGGTGTTCCCCAGCAAGAGGAGCGTGTGGCTACGAGCTGCATACTTTGAGAAGAACCACGGCACCAGGGAGTCCCTGGAAGCCCTCCTGCAGAGGGCTGTGGCTCATTGCCCGAAAGCGGAGGTGCTACGGCTCATGGGAGCCAAGTCCAAGTGGCTGGCAGGGGATGTGCCCGCAGCAAGGAGCATCTTGGCTCTGGCCTTCCAGGCTAACCCCAACAGCGAGTAGATCTGGCTGGCAGCCGTGAAGCTGGAGTCCCAGAACAATGAGTACGAGCGGGCTCAGAGGCTGCTGGCTAAGGCACGGAGCAGTGCACCCACTGCTCGGGTGTTCATGAAGTCTGTGAAGCTGGAGTGGGTGTTGGGCGGCACCGCAGCCGCGCAGGAGCTGTGTGAGGAGGCCTTGCGTCTGTATGAGGACTTCCCCAAGCTGTGGATGATGAAGGGGCAGATGGAGGAGCAGGAAGGGCAGATGGAGAAGGCACACAAGGCCTACAGCCAGGGGTTGAAGAAGTGTCCCAACTCTACACCCCTGGGGCTTTTGCTCTCACAGCTGGAAGAGAAGATTGGGCAGCTCACCCGGGCATGGGCTACTCTGGAGAAGTCTCATCTGAGGAACCCAAAGAACCCTGAGCTATGGCTGGAGTCTGTGTGGCTGGAGTACTGTGCGGGGCTGAAGAACATTGCCGACACTCTCATGACCAAGGCACTGCAGGAGTGCCCCAACTCCGGTATCCTGTGGTCTGAAGCCATTTTCCTTGAGGCAAGGCCCCAGAGGGAGACGAAGTGCGTGGATGCCCTGAATAAGCGTGAACACGATCCCCATGTGCTCCTGGCTGTGGCCAAGCTGCTTTGGAGCGAGCGGAAGATCACCAAGGCCAGGGAGTGGTTCCACCGCACCGTGAAGATTGAGCCAGACCTGGGGGATACACTGAAGAGCAGCGGGCGGAGGTGAGGAAGCGCTGTGAGAACGCAGAGCCCCGGCATGGGGAACTGTGTGCGCCGTGTCCAAGGACATTACCAACCGGCAGAGGAAGATTGGAGAGATCCTTGTGCTGGGAACCGGCCACATCAAGAACACCTTCTGATTATCCAGCACCCATGGAGTGGGGCCTTGAGCAGCACCTGGCAGAGATGTGGAAGGCCCTCTGATCTGTCTGTCGTTCTTCAGTAAGGGGTTTTTACGGATCTGTCAGCATCAGCAGTTCTCTCAGAGGCCCTTCCCTGGTTCGTTTATTCACCCCAGTCTGGCCACCTGCAGACCACCTGTGTCTCTCAGAGAAAGCACTGCCAAGCCAGGAGCCACCCATTTTTTGGGAGAAGGTAGTGGGGCGGGGTGTTCTGGGTAGTGGTCATGTGTAGGAACAGTGGGAGAAAGTGGGGTACCATGTCACAGGTCGACAGTGCTCAGAAGCTGCATGGGAACAGACTGTGTGGGACCAAGGTGCTTGAAGGAGCCCTACAGCTCCTGCCTGCAGGGGTAGAAGACTTTCCCAGTTTTAATCTAGAGCAGTGGTTCTCAACCTTCCTAATACTGCAACCCTTTAATACAGTTCCTGCGGGTCTTGACCCACAGGTTGAGAACCACTGATCTAGAGACACCTGGAGCCTTTCCCAGGCCTGAGTACAACAGCAGAACCCACCTGTGCCTTGGTGGTGCCCGGCCACACTTTATAGGACCCCCAGGGTTGTGCTGAGTGAAAGTGTTACCAGTATGAGGTTTTCTCACTTGTGCAGGTGAATTTCCTTTTGATAATTTGTAATAAGCAATTTTATCCTAATGCACTTGTAACTGTGCCCATTGCTAGGGTGGAAATAATGTTATCTGGGAGACTTGGCTTCTTTTCAGCCTTTAAGCAGTATGAGAATAAAGGATTTCTCAGGAAAAAAAAAAAAAGAATTGTCTAGAGCAAAGGTTGTCCAACAGAATTTTCTATAATGAAGGAATTACTCTGCACTGGCACCGTCCAAAAGGTAGCCAAGAAGCTAGGGCTAGTGGCTAGTGTGGCTAAGGAACTACAGCTTTATTTTTTTAATTTAAGCACATTTTTGGGGTACAAATGTTTTGGTTACATAGATTGCTTTTCTACTGCTTGAGACAAAGTTATAAGTGTGCCCAGATAGTGTACATTGTACCTATTAGGTATGAGTTCACTCATCCCCTCCTCCGCTCCCACCTGCTTGATTTCTGTTGAGTTTTACTTCCGTCTTTGCACATGAGTGCTTTTCAGCTAGTTTCAATTTAAGAATGAAGGAATGTGGTGGGTTTCTTGTTTTTGTTTTTTTTTTTTTGCAGTTTTTGGCCGAGGCTGGGTTTGAACCTGCCACCTCCAACATATGGGGCCGGCGCCCTACTCTTTTGAGCCACAGGCACCACCCTCAGATGTTTTTTTCTATTCTTGCAATACTTCACTTAAGATAATCATCTTCGGTACCATCCAGATTTTTATAAAAGGAATTAATTTACTTTTTTATGGCTGAGTAGTGGTCTATAGTACACATTCACCACATTTTGTTAATTCACTCGTGAATTGATGGGTTGATTCCACATCTTTGTGATCATGAATTGTGCTGCAATCAACACTTGAGTGCAAATGTCTTTTTGATAAAATGACTTTTTTTTTCCTTTGAGTAAGCAACCATTAGTGGGATTGCTGGGTCAAATAGTAGGTCTACTTTTAGTTCTTTAAGGAATTTCCGTAGTGTTTTCTGTTGTACCCCAGCCCTCTTTCCCCTGCCCACTCCTGTTCCCCAGCCCTCACCTGTTCCCCCCCTCCCTGCCCTCTCCAGCCCATTTCCCTCCTCCTCCCTTCTCCCCCCAGAGTCAACTCCAGGAACAAGGCAAGTCCCTCCTCCCCCCAGGGTGGCCAAGAACATTCTTCCCAGCCACATTCCCAGGCCCCCTTCTTCTCCCTAGGGTTGCCAAGAACAAGCTTCAGGTACAAGGAAAAAAAGTCCCAAGTTTCACAAAATCCCCAAGTTCTCAGTAGATGAACCCCAAGTTCTCAGTAGATGAACAATGGTGGAAAACTCACTGATTGATTAATTACTGTTGTATAACCATAACCATTGTGATATAAAATGTATCCATTGTCAACTGAAACTGTATTAATTATTGTTCTGTTGCTGTATCTATGACTACCTGAGTTGTAACCCCCCTTAACCAGCCATGTTTCGCTCCTGTAATATGCTTACACAAAGCCTATAAAAGGTAACTCACTCTCACCAGGTGCTGACTGTCTCTTGGAGCAGCAGCCCTGCAGCAGGTAAAATAAATTACCAATTAATTAACCTAAGTAGGGGTCCAACTCTATTTTTCCAGGTCCCCTAAGTTATTTCATTTTCCATAGAAGTTATCCAAGTTTGAAGTCTCACCAACAATGCATAAGTGTTCCTTTCTTTTTGCATCCATGCCTGTATCTATTGTTTTTTCACTTTTTAATAAAAGCCACTCTCACCGGGGTTTAGTGATATGTCATTGTGGTTTTGATATCATTTCCCTGATGATCTTGCTAATTTGCTCGAATTATTTGTAGATTCTGGTACAATGCTGTTTTGGTTAGTATAGCATTACAGTATAGCTTGAAGTCTGAGAAGGTGATGCCTCCAGATTTTTTTTCCTTTTTGTCTATTTGTGTTCTTTTCAGATTCCAAAGAGAGAATAGAATTTTTTTTTTCTAAATCTACGAGAAATGATATTGGCATTTTGATGGCAATTTCGTTGAAACTGTAAATCACTAGGGACATTTTAATAATGTTGATTATACCAATCCAAGGGCATGATATGTTTTTCCACTTGTTTATATCATCTGCAATTCCCTTTCTCAATGATTCGTGGTTATTTTTATGGAGATCTTTCACCTCCTTGGTTAAATATATTCCTGGGTATTTTATTTTCTTTATTGGTGCTTCAATTTTGTTGCTTGTTATTGGTCTGTTCAGGAGTTCTTTTTCTTCCTGATTGAGTGTTGGGAGGTTCTGTGTTTCCAAGAGTTTGCCCATTTCTTCAACGTTTTTGAGTTTATGGGTATAGAGACTTTGATAGTATTCACAGATGATTTCTTTGTATTTCTGTGGTATCAGTTGCAATATCTCCTTTTTCTTTCCAATTGAGCTTATTTGGGTCCCTTCTTTTCTACTTCAGGTTAATTGTGTGAAAAGTCTATCAATTTTGATTACCTTTTCAAAGAACCAACTTTTTTTTTTTTCTGAGGCAGACCCTCAAGCTGTCCCCCTGGGTAGAGTGCTGTGTCATCACAGCTCACAGCAACCTCCAACTCCTGGGCTCAAGCGAGTCTCCTGCCTCAGCCTCCCAAGTAGCTGGGACCACAGGTGCCCGCCACAATGCCGGGCTATTTTTTGGTTGTAGCCGTCGTTGTTGTTTGGCGGCCCTGGCTGGATTTGAACCCACCACCTTAGGTGTATGTGGCTGGTGCCTTAACCACTTGAGCCACAGGCGCCAAGCCAGAACCAACTTTTTATTTGATTAATCTTCTGTATTTTTTTTGTTTGTTCATTTATTTGTTTTCAATTTCACTTAGTTCTTCTCCAACCTTGGTTATTTTTTTTTCTTCTGCTGGGTTTGGATTTGGTTTTTCTTCCTTTTCTAGTTCTTTGAGATGATTCATTAGATTATTGACCTATTATCTTTCTGTCTTTTTGATACAGGCATTTAAGGCTATGAATTTTCCCCTAAGGACTGCTTTTGCAGAATCCCACAGATTTTGATAACTTGTACCCTTTGTCATTTAGCTCAAGGAATCTTTTGGTCCAATTTAATTTCTTCCTTGACCCAATAATCATTGAGCAATAGGTTGTCTAATTTCCATGATTTTGTGTAGGATTGAATGTTTCTGTAGTTGATTTTTAGTTTTATTCCACTATGATTATAGGCAAAACGCCTATATGCCTCTGGCCAAAAAAGCTGCTTGAGAGAGAGCAGTGAAAAGACTTTGTGCCGGCATACTTAAGAAACTGAGGCAGAATCCCATGTGGCCAGGTTAGTTGCGGGCCTAACATGACCAAGGCTTTGGCTGGAATAGCATTTCCAGACTGCATTAAGGAATTAAGGTTGACTTTATAAGGCCTATGAGAAAGCCCTTTGGAAAACTGGCCAGATACCCATCAGTAACCTTTCCTGATCTGTGGTAAGTGATGAAGGTCACTTGCTGACAGGTCTGGGAATGGTAATGTCATACAGGTATGTAATGGCACAGATGAAACTTGGGCTCACGAAAGGCTTTTGAGAAGTCCAGCCTGAGAATTCCTTGTAAAAGGCTCCAGCAAACCCACCCCCCGCCCCCGACTTAAGGCCTACATGGGAGCAAAGGTTTGCACACAAACTCGTGTATGCCCAAGAAGCTTCTCTATGCTTTGCTTAAAGATTTGAAGTAACTGCCTCCAAATGGCATGGTCAGTAGAACAGACCTTCAAATCGCACCCCCCCCCACCCCCCATAGCCTCAGGCTTCATCAGATAAGAACAAAGAAAGTAATAACTGACAACATGCTCTTCATTAAGTTATGTTAAACCAGTTATGTTGAAAGGATTATGCTTAAAGGTGTATGTTGGGTGGATTATCAGATTACCAGGGAGGAGCTACTTACAGGGCGGGTGGTCATAAACTGTTTAAATGGTTCAATGAGGTGTGTGCTACTTAAGAGGAGTCCATCAGATACTGATATACAGTAATGATGAACTTGATGAGCCCCAGAGGAGCAGAGAGTGGTTGGCAGAGCCCTGGAGAGGAGATCCGCAGCCCCTGGGAAAGATGTCCCAGCACAGGGCTATGCTCCTGGGTCGCATGTTTCCTAACTCCAGGTGTCCAGTAGCTCCTTTTCTCCTGTGACCAAACCCACCAATCTTCCAGTGCTCTCCTTTGTTGTGAAGTGAGCCTGAGTCTTCTGTGCTCCTTGTGCTGGGAGCGTCTGAACTAACACAGATGTAAAGTCCCATTTCTCACAGTCTCAGGAGGAAGCCCACCTCCCCACCAGCTGCTTCTCTTCATTAGCTTTGTCCCACACAGAGGCCCGTGTCTATGTGCAGGTGCACAGGCACGTGTTTGTCAGCCATTTCTACCACAAGGTGT